AAGGCATTGTGTCCATCCACAACTAAAAAAAAATATTTTTAAAAAAAGACAGTGGTGAGATGTTAATATATTAGAAGACCTAAATCAAAATTAGTGACAATTCCAAATGATGGTAGAAACATAAAGAAACTGGATTTCTCGTATATTGCCGATAGGAATGTAAAGTGAAATATGCACCAGGTGTGGTGGCACATGCCTGTAAATCCTAGTGACTCAGGAGGCTGAGGCAGGAGGATCTCAAGTTTGAAGCCAGCCTTAGCAACTCAGTGAGACCCTGTCTCAAAAAATAAAAAGGACTGGGGCTGTAGCTTGGGGGTAAAGCCTCTCTGAGATCAGTCTCACTATTAAAAAAGAAAAACAGGGCTGGGGATATGGCTCAGTTGGTAGAGTGCTTTCCTCACATGCACAAGGCCCTGGGTTCAATCCCCAGCAACACACACACACACACTCAAAAAAAAAAAAAAAAAAAAAAGAAGCTGCATTTTTCCAACCACTGGTTACATTCCTGGGCTTATATCCTAGAGGAATGAAAGCTTATATCTGCAGAAAAGCCTACATACACACTGTTATCCATGGAAGCTTTATTTGGGGTTTTTATTTATTCATATATGACAGCAGAATGCATTATAATTCTTACTACACACATAGAGCACGATTTTTCATATCTCTGGTTGTATAAAAAGTATATTCACAGGAATTCATGTATTCATACGTGTACTTTGGAAAATAATGACCATCACATTCCACCATCGTTTATAACCCCCTGCCCCCTCCCTTCCCCTGCAACCCTCTGCCCTATCTAGAGTTTACTGATTCCTCCCATGCTCCTGCTCCCTATCCCATTATGAATCAGATTTCTTATATCAAAGAAAACATTTGGCCTTTGGTTTTTTGGAATTGGCTAACTTCATTTGGCATTATCTTCTCTAACTCCATCCATTTACCTGCAAATGCCATGATTTTATTCTCCCCTTTTACTGCTGAGTAATATTCCATTGTATATATATGCCACACTTTTTTTATCCATTCATCTATTGAAGGGCATCTAGGTTGGTTCCACAGTTTAGCTATTGTGAATTGTGCTGCTATAAACACTGATATGGCTATGTCCCTATAGTATGCTGTTTTTAAGTCCTTTGGGTATATACCGAGGAGAGGAATAGCTGGGTCAAATGGTGGTTCCATTCCCAGTTTTCCAAGAAATCTCCATACTGCTTTCCATATTGGCTGCATCAATTTGCAGTCCCACCAGCAGTGTATGAGTGTACCTTTCTCCCACATCCTTGCCAACACTTATTGTTTGTATTCTTGAAAGCTGCCATTCTGACAGGAGTGATATGAAATCTTACAGTAGTTTTGATTTGCATTTCTCTAATTGCTAGTGATGATGAACATTTTTTCATATATTTGTTGATTTATTGTACATCATCTTCTGAGAAGTGTCTATTGATTGGGTTATTTGTTGTTGTTGTTGTTGTTGTTGTTTTTTTTTTGGTGCTTAGCTTTTTGAGTTCTTTATATACCCTAGAGATTAGTGCTCTATCTGTGTGTGAGGGGTAAAGATTTATTCCCATAATGTAGGCTCTTTACCTCACGGATTGTTTCTTTTGCTGAAAAGAAACTTTTTAGTTTGAATTGATCCCATTTATTGATTCTTGATTTTAATTCTTGTGCCAGAGGAGTCTTATTAAGGAAGTTGGGGCCTAATCCCACATGATGGAGATTAGGGTCTACTTTTTCTTCTATTAGAAGCAGGGTCTCTGGTTTCATTCCTAAGTCTTTGATCCATTTTAAATTTGTTTGTTTATTTTTGTGCATGGTGAGAGATAGATGTTTAATTTCATTTTGTTGCATATGGATTTCCCATTTTCCCAGCACCATTTGGTGAAGATGCTATCTTTTTCTCAAATGCATGTTTTTGGCACCTTTGACTCATATAAGATAATTGTAATTTTGTGGGTTAGTCTCTGTGTCCTCTCTTATGTACCATTGGTCTACAAGTCTGTTTTGGTGCCAATACCATGCTGTTTTTGTTACAATTGCTCTGTAGTATAGTTTAAGGTCTGGTATAGTGATGCCTCCTGCTTCACTCTTCCTGCTAAGAATTGCTTTAGCTATTCTGGGTCTCTTATTTTTCCAGATGAATTTTATGACTGCTTTTTCTATTTCTATGAGGAATGTCATTGGGATTTTGATCAGAATTGCATTAAATCTGTATAGTGCTTTTGGAAATATGGTCATTTTGATAATATTAATTCTGCCTATCCAAGAGCAAGGTAGATCTTTCCATTTTCTAAGGTCTTCTTTGATTTCTTTCTTTAGGGTTCTGTAGTTTTCATTATATAGATCTTTCATTAAGTTAATTCCCAAGTATTTTTTTTTGAGGCTATTTTAAATGGGGTAGTTTTCCTCATTTTCCTTTCTGAGGATTTGTCACTGATATACAGAAATGCCTTTGATTTATGGGTGTTGATTTTATATCCTGCTACTTTGCTGAATTCATTTACTAGTTCTAGAAGTTTTCTGGTGGAACTTTTAGGGTCTTCTAGGAATAGAATCATATTGTCAGCAAATAGTGCTAATTTAAGTTCATCTTTTCCTATACATATCTCTTTAATTTCTTTCATCTGTCTAATTGCTCTGGCCAGTGTTTCAATAACCATGTTAAATAGAAGTGGTGATAGAGGCCATCCCTGTCTTATTCCAGTTTTTAGAGGAATGCTTTCAATTTTTTCTTCATTTAGGTTGATGTTGGCCTGAGACTTGACATAGATAGCCTTTATGATGTTGAGATATGTTCCTGTTGTCCCTAGTTTTTCTAGTTGTTTTGAACATAAAGGGGTGCTATATTTTGTCAAATGCTTTTTCTGCATCTACTGAGATGATCATATGATTCTTATCTTTAAGTCTATTGACGTGATGAATTACATTTATTGATTTCTGTACGTTGAACCAAGCTTGCATCCCTGGGATGAATTCCACCTGATTGTGGTGCACAATATTTTTGATATGTTTTTGTATTCAATTTGCCAGAATATTATTGAGAATTTTTGCATCTATGTTCACTAGAGATATTGGTCTGAAGTTTTCTTTTTTTGATGTGTCTTTGCCTGGTTTTGGAATCAGAGTGATACTGGCCTCATAGGATGAGTTTGGAAGTGCATAGCAGGTTTATTTGTAATAGCCCCAATCTAAAAGCAGATAAATGTGTTGAGTAGTTGAATGGCTAAACAAACCGATTTATCCATACCATGGAATACTACTCAGTAAATGTAAAGGAATGAACTACCGCTACACAGAACTTGGGTAGATCTCGGGGCATTATACTGATTGAAAAAGGGTCCATTTCAAAAGGTCACATACAGTAAGATTCCATTTATACAATATCAAAATAGTTATAGAGATGGAAAACAGATTAGTGTTTGCCAGGGGTTTGGATGGGGAAGTGGGTGACAGTGGGCCCCATGAGGCCCAGCATTGTGGTGACAGGATGGTTCTGACCAGATAATCTGTGGGCCACAGGTGGCTATCACACAGATGTGTTCATGTGATAAAATGACACAGAGCTAAGCAGGCACATTAGACGGATACCAATTTCCTAGTTCTATGGGGCACTAGCACTGTGTGAGATGTAACCATTGAGAGACCTGGTGAGGAGCACAGGAGGCCTCTCATTATTTTGAAATAGTTCTTAATTATAAATAACTTGGAATTATTTAAGAATAAGAAGTGTATTACATATGATTATGTGATGGAGAAAAATGAAGACGGAGGGTGAGGGAAGGCAGGATGGGGGTGGTCAGTTCATCTCCTTGAGAAGGTAACATTTAAGCAGAGTCTTGAAGGAGGGAGGAGCATGAGTTCTGAGTGGCTAGGGGAAAGCTTTCTAAGCAGAGGGAAGAGTGTCTGCAAATACCCTCAGAAAGGTGTGTGCCTGGCACATCCGAGGAATAGCCAAGAGGCCATTATGGTGGGAACTGCGGGAGCAAAGCAGAAAACGGAAGGTGAAATCAAAGAAATAACGGGGAGAGAAGAGCAGATCGCATGGGATTGCATGTCACTGTGAGGGCTTTAGCTTTTGCCCTGAATGAATGGGGGCTTTTTTTTTTTTTTTGGCACCAGGATTAAATCCAGGAGTGCTTAGCCACTGAGCCACACCCCCAGCCCTTTTTTTTTTACATTTTATTTAGAGACAGGGTATCACTGAGTTGCTTAGGGCCTCTCTAAGTTGCTGAGGGATCCTCCTGCCTCAGCCTCCCAAACCACTGGGATTATAGGCATGCACCAGAGTGCCCAGTGAAATAGGGACTCTTGAGGAGAGAAGAGACGTGTGTAACATGCCTGCTGCTCTGAAAACAGATGCAGGGGTGCAGGGATGGAAGTAGGGAGAGGAAAAGCTATTGCAGAAATCCAGTGACAGAGGATGGGGGCTTGGGAGGGGGTGGTAGAAGTGGGGGGTGGTAAGTGGCTTGATTTTTGACAGATTCTGATGGTAGATTCCACAGGATTTTCTGAAGGATTGGAAAAGGTGTGTGAGAGAGAAAGGAGTCAAGGGTTGATCTGCTGGAAAACGCAGCCAGGTGTTGACTCAGAGAGGTCTGCTAGTCATGCAGGGAGAAAAGGGAAATTGGCAGCTGGATGTGTGTCTGGACCTCAGGTGAAAGGTCTGAGCTGGAGGTGTGACCTTGACCTAAGTCACTGGCTGCACTGAATACTGAGCCTGGATGATCTCACTAAGCGCGGGACAGAGCTAGAAGAGAGGAGATGGAGCAGAAGAACTAGGAACGAAGAGTGAAATAAAGCCAGATGAGGAGAGAGTTCCAAGGAGGCCATAGTGTTCAACTAAGTCAGCTGAAGTTTGGGGTTGAAGTGGGAGAGAGAATCGACTATTTGGTTTGGCACAGGGGTCCTGGTTGGGAGCAGTGATAAATGAAGTCGAGCTGGGGTGGCGGTGGGAGGCACCAGGTATAAGCAGATCCATTTCTTCCCTCCCATTTCAGGAACACTCCATCAAAGTGCTAGAACTGGTCTCCACCATCTGGGACTCGGAGCTTCACATTTCTGGCCTCAGACTCCTCAACAACCTTCCGCTGCCTGACTATGTGCATCCCCAGCTGCGGCGGGTGATGCCTGCCCTGATGGAAATCCTGCAGTCAGACTATAACATGGCACAGGTGCCTGCGGATCATGACTGAGGCCCTGCCCTCTTGACCAGCACCTAGAGGGAAGAGCAGAGCTTTAGGTCTTCACTCCCGAGGCCCAGACTCATCCTCCTTCTTGTGCTTTACTCTTTTCTTTATTCAGGTACAAGCCCTGCGACTGATGAGCTACCTGGCACAGAAGAATGACCTTCTCTATGACATTCTCAACTGCCAGGTGAGAAAAGCAACTGAAGAGGGAGGGGCTGATGGATGCCAGCTTAGGTAGAAGGGAGGGAACAATTACACTCTCCAGACAAACAGCCCTGATGAATTGTCTTGTCCCTCTTCCTGCCTCTGCACCAGAGGCACTAAAAACTTGCTCCTTTTGTGTTCTCCCAATAGAATGAGAATCCGTCCTATTGAGAAGGGTGTTCTCCTTTGAGGGGTTTTCTTTTCTTTTCTCTTTTTGGAACTGAGGATCAAACCTAGGGCTTTGCAAATGCGAGACAAATGCTTTGTCACTGAGCTACATCCCAGCCCCTTTGAGGGGTTTTCTAAACTCTGTGAGGAACACAGAAAACAAAAATTAATGTAGATATCTTAATATCTACATTAATTATTTATGGAAAAAAGCATCATTAAGGATAGAAAAAGGGGTTACTACATAATAATCAGTGGTTCAGTTCACCAGAAGGATGAAGTAATTCTAAACTTGAATGCACCTAATAACATAATCTCAAAATATATATGGCAAAACTAGATGGAATTCCAAGGAGAAGTTAATAAGTCTACCATCACAGTGAGAGATTTGGAAGATTTTAACAACTCTATCAGTAATCAGTAGATAAAAAACGAAATCAAGGGGCTGAGATTGTGGCTCAGAGAGAGCGCACTCGCCTAGCATGCGTGAGGCACTGGGTTTGATCCTCATCCCCACATAAAAATAAAATAAAGATTAAAAAAAAAAAAAAAACTAAAGCAAGTAAAGATATACTTATGTAAATAACACAAATAAGTTTAAGCCATTTGACACACCTAGAACTCTACAGTTATTAACTCTACACTCCTCTCAAGCATACAAAAATATTTAGGAAAATTAACCATATACTAAGCCTTAAAATTTTTCTGAACAAATTTCCTAGAATCCATATCATGATCATATCATTCATGTTTTAGGACCACAATATAGTTAAATTAGAAGATGATAATTAAGAAAAACTAAAAAATTCTTCTATAGTTGAGTCTAGGTATATTGGAGAGTTGAGATGATAGGAGGATGGAAGAATAAGAATTTTAGAATTTGCCTGAGATTTCACTCATCCTCTCTCCATTCCCATGTCACAGGTGCACTCTGACTTCCTGAACCTGTTCCAGTCCACACAGCCAGGAAATCTGCTGTTTGAGCTACTGGTGTTCGCTGAGCGGCTGAGTGAGGGCCGGAATGCATCCCACTACCGAGCTGTGAAATGGCATTACAATGAACAGTCCCTGCATGAAGCCCTCTTTGGGGACGAGTCACGACTGGCAGACCGGCTGCTTTCCCTGGTCATCCACCCTGAGGAAGAGGTTCAGATCCAGGCCTGTAAGGTCATAGTCAGCCTGCAGTGTCCCCAGGACGTGGCAGCCCGGCCCTCCTCCTTCCATCCCAGTCATTCTTTCTCTAAAAGTGGGGAATAAAATTAAGGAGAATCAATAAATGAGTATGGGAGAGAAGCTTGGGGGCTTCTTGGAGCTTGATTTTCTGTCTGTGGACTTCCAGGGCTGGGTGGAGATTTCACTCAGTGTGACCTCTGCTCCAGAGGATGGTACGACATGGGCAAATCTCTCCAAACACAGCTCCGCCATGTTTAGGAGACTGACTCTTGCTGCTTTTCAAATCTGAATATGGAGCCAAGTACTTTCAGGAAGTTGGGAGAAGGTGGGTGCTATGATTTGGGTTCATATGTTGGAGTTGGATCCAGATTGATGGTATTGGGAGATGGTGTGGACCTTAAAGACATAGGATCTCATGGGAGGTTCTCAGGTCATTGAAGGTGTGCCCTCAGAAGGGGTTGGAGGACCCCAGTCTCTGTCTTCTTGTTTGGCAATGTGATACTTCCTTACACATGCGCTTCCGCCATGATGTGACCCCCATCTGTTGTTAGATCCTCCGCAGAGGCTGAATCAGGGGGACCTGACTTGATTTTGGGCTTCGAACCTCTAAAACTGTGAGCTAATAAATCTCTTTTCTTCATAATGGCTACCTTCAGGTATTTTATTTTGATAATGAAAATCTGACTAATACAGCAGGCTGCCGGGCTAAGACCAAAGATAATCAACAGGAGACAATCTATGGAGCTCTAAATTGGTCAAGATGGGTGAGGCTACGCCACAATAACAACCTCCAAATGTTTTTTATTCATCACAGGCCAGCTGGGGATAGAAGGGCAGGGATCTGCTCCACATCACCATTACTTAGGAATACAGGCTGAGGGAGATTCCTTTGTGTACTTCTACAAATGTTAAAGAAGGAAAAAGGAGTGTAGTGGTAGTATCTGACTCAGAAATTCCACTAGAAATGATGCTTAGCACTTCTGCTCATCTGATTGGCCAAAGTGGGCAGGGAAGATCAATCTTACCACATGCCCAAGAAATAACTGAAAATATTTGGTGACAACATTAATAACAATGAACCTCAGGCATACTGGGTAAATGTGAGTTCTGGAATCAGACTGCTAGGTTTCCATTGGACCCTGTCCCTTACTGTGTGACCTTGGATGGGCTGTTAACCCTATTTGAACCTCATTCCCTCATCGATAAAATGAACAGGAGAACAGTGCCTATCTCATGAGGCTGTCGGGAGGAGATTATGTGAGTTACTGTAGGGCACAGTATTCTGCACACAAGTCCCAAAGACTGACTCTGAGGAGCTATGACATCATCACTGAGAAAATGAAAGATTAGCCCTGAAGCATCCTGGGTAGGTTGAGTTTCTCTCATCTCTCCAGGTTACAGGCACTGGTGGGCAAGGGGATGGGTCTCTTAGAGCTCTTCAGGAACATCCTGAAATGCCCCTGGAACTTTGCCTTGTGAACCAGAGCAGCAGTGTGAATAGTATAAAAACCATCACCAGGAAGCCTCCAGAAACAAGATCGTCCAACCAAGTGTCCCCACCCGTCTTCAGGTCGCCCCGTTTGTTTGTGTTTCCCACGTCTTCATTCACAGAGTTATCTGTGAGTCCTTGCTGGGTTGCTACTGTTTAAGAAACTGTTACAGGAGAAAAACCTAGAATTGAAGCTCTTCGCTGTTTGTTATTACTCAATTTAGGAAGCAGAACATGGAATCCCCCGATGTTCTGCAGAAGCAGGACTTAAAAACTACAACCTAGTCCAGGAACAACCATGGCATTTTACTGAGAGGAAAACAAATGCAAAGAGAGAGAGAGAGAGAGTGACTTGCTCTAGGTCACGTGCAGGTCTGGGGCAGAAATAAGGAATGGAAACTTCTATGGGCTTCTTGCCTTCCATATTCTTTGACCTGAACCCCATGAGAGTGGATCATGGATTCTAAACCAGGAGAAGGGGGGACCTTGATATCTCTGATTTTTAGGGGTCAGTTTAAGATTGAACTATGTAAGGAAATTTGTCTCCACTTAACCCCTGACCCAGGCCCACATCCTCTGGGTGGGCGGGCTGAGGTGAGGGAGATGGTGGTGGTTGATGAGAACGGCTGGTCGGAGAGCCAGTTCCTGCAGAAGAGCCAGCCTCGTCACCATCTCCCAAAGTTTGACTTGTCCTGAGTGGAAAGTCACTAAGATCAGAACCAGCATCCCCGCGAGTTCAGGCCTGAGGCTGCAACTTCCTGCTACTAAGACACACTGTGGCCACCCCCGTGGAACTTGTCAAAACCAGCTTCATCCTAGCCACCCCTCAGCCAGCTCCCTATGTGCCCGTGTCACCAGTGAGCAATTGGGCATCATCTGCAAATTCTGCTCCCCATCTCAGCCACCCAGTTTGCTCACATCCACGCTACTGCCCTGTCCCCCACAATGGACTCTCCTACTTCTGGTCTCTGTTCTCTCCAGCCCTCATCCTCCAGGCTGACCCTAGAATCCCATGTCTCATCCATCCTCCAAAACCTTCAGGGGCTGTTAATAGGCAGTGAATCTTTCCTTAGCCTTAATGTAATGTCACTTGATCTGACGGACATGTACTCTTTTGGGCTGCAGGTACAACTCAGTGGTAAGTGTTTGGCTAGCATGCATGAGGCCCTGGGTTGGACCCCTTTCTTATATGATAGAGTCAAATGAATTAGCTTTGCAGTTAAGGCCCTTCATGATCTGGTCCTTTTTTCCCACCCTGTACTGGGGATTGAGCCCAGGGGTACTTTAGCACTGAGCTACAGCCCCTGTCCTTTAATATTTTTTTAATATTTATTTTGAGACAAGGCGTCCTTAAGTTGCCCAGGTTGGCCTTGAATTTACAATCCTCCTGCCTCAGCCTCCTGAATGGCTGGGATTACAGGTGTGTGACACTGTGCCCAGCCAATCTGATCCTCTTGCCTGCCCCAGACTTCTATGTCCAATCTCTGTTCCAGCTAAACTGGAATGAACTAGTCATTGCTCTGCTACTTGTACCATATGTAGTCTTGCCTCCAAACTTCCAACGCAGCCTTCCCCCTGCCTCAAGTGACCTCCCCTCTCCTTTCCACTGGGCAGTGTCTTCTGGTTTCATCAGTTGAACCACATCCTCCTGTGCCTAGATCCTTCTTCCATTACACCAGCCTTTGGTGCTTCCTGCAGTTCTTTTCATCTCATCTCATTTGACATTTGCCAAATTAAAACTTGGACCTTATAAACCATGCTTTTTTCTTTCTTTCTTTCTTTCTTTCTTTCTTTCTTTCTTTCTTTCTTTCTTTCTTTCTTTCTTTCTTTTTTGTGACAGAGCATATGTGACTTCTTATTGAAGTCTCAAAGGAAGGGCCTGCAGTCACAACAAGATAGTAAAACAGGTTACACAAGTGTATATGGTAGTGCTGCGGCCTGGGCTGTGGACATGAGGCACATACCATATATGGTGTGTAATGCTTGATAATGATAATAAACAACTACTTATTGTTATGTATTAACTATACTATTTTTTTTTGTACTAGAGATTAAGCCCAGGGGCACTTTACCACTGAGTCACATCCCCAGATATTTTTTATATTTTAGAGACAGGGTCTCACTAAGTTGCTTAGGGCCTCACTAAGTTGCTGAGGCTGGCTTTGAACTTTCCATCCTCCTGCTTCAGCCTCCCCAAGCCACTGAGATTACAGGTGTACACCACCCCCCACAGCTTATACTATGGTTTTTATCGTTATTTTAAAGTGTACTCCTTCCAAAGTTAACTATAGAACAGCCTTGGCAGGTCCTTCAGGAGGGATTCCGGAGGCCTTGTTATCAGAGTTATGTCAGCTCCATGCACATCATTGCCCTGAAGGCCTTCCAGTGGGACAAGATGTGGGGATGGAACAGTGATCCTGGTAATCCTGACCCTGTGTGGGCCTAAGCCAACGTCTGGGTTTGAGACTGTTTTTAACAAAAAATGTTAAAAAAGAAAATTTAATTATAAAACATAGAAAAGTTGAAAGAATAAGGATATAAAAAGTAAAATATTTTTATAGCTATACAATGTCTTTGTTTTATGCTAAAAGTTATTATAAAGGTAAAAAAAATTAAAAATATAAACATTTGTAAAGTAAAAAATTTTAGTCAGCTAAGGTGAATTAATTATTGAAGAAAGAAAAAGATACTTTATAAATGTAGTGTAACCTATGGGTACCAAATCTTTTTGAAGTATATTTTTAAGTTGTTGATGGACCTTGTAATTTATTTATTTGTTTGTTTGTTTGTTTATATGCAGTGCTGAGATTTGAACCCAGTGCCTCACACATGCTAGCTAGGCCAAGTACTCTACCACTGAGCCACACCCCTAGCCCCATGCGTACCATATTTATAAAGTCTCTGGTAGTGGGCAGTCATGTCCTAGGCCTGTGCATTCACTCACTGACTCACCCCAAGAAATTTCTAAACCTGCACACTCCATTCCTGGTAAGTGCTTGATTTAGTCAGCTTTTTCATTGCTGTGACTAAAGGACCCAACCAGAACAACTGTAGAGGAGGAAAAGTTTGTTTTGCTATCTTGTTGTGACTGCAGGCCCTTCCTTTGAGACTTCAATAAGCAGTCACATATGCCCTGCCACAAAAAAAAAAATAAAAATAAAAAGAGCATGGTTTATAAGATCCAAGCTTTAATTTGTCAGATGTCAAATGAATTATGAATTGAGATGAAAAGAACTGCAGGAAGCACCAAAGGCTGGTGTAATGGAAGAAGGATCTAGGCACAGGAGGACGGGTTCAACGGATGAAACCAGAAGACACTGTCCAGTGGAAAGGAGAGGGGAGGTCACTTGAGGCAGGGGAAAGGCTGCATTGGAAGTTTGGAGGCAAGACTACATATGGTACAAGTAGCAGAGCAATGACTAGTTCATTCCAGTTTTAGCTGGAGCAGAGATTGGACATAGATGGCTGGGGCAGGCAAGAGGGGTGGTGATATACACCTGTAATCTAGTGGCTTGGGAGGCAGAGACAGGAGGATCAAAAGTTCAAAGCCAGCCTCAGCAACTCAGTGAGGCCCTAAATAACTCATGGTTTCAGGGTCTTAGTCCTTGCAATCTTCCTGCCTCAGCCTTCTAAGTCTCTGGTATTATAGGCATGCACTCCATTTCTCTGCATTTTAAGGGTGCCACCAAATACACATGTAAAGAGAATGAGAAAGGTGTTCACTGAATTCATGGTTGGTGGTTAGACGATAAAGAGGACTATTGAGTCAGAAGGAGAAAGGCCACAGGCTGGACCAGGAGGACTTGGTAGGTACTGACAATGCAGTACATGGCCTAGTTCTCCCATGACAGATCACACCTGGGCTTCCAGATGTGGCTTGGTTTTGCTGATCATCTTCACTGCCTAAGACCTAATCTGAATGGACTTATGGGAGGGCAGAAATATTTGTGGGAGATTTACTTTTTTATTGGCCAGGGATACCAGAGAGAGCAGACACAAGCAATCATTTTGGTGGCAGCTTCCAGATCCCAAGATCACAGCCCAGGTTTATGTTCCTGGAACCAATGGGTACAGTGACAGCTCCTGACTCCACGCCTTCCTGATGGTAGCAGAGATGGTGGCTCCCCTGGCAGCCAGTTTCGGAAGTCATTCCT